ATTGAAGGAGTCGCTGTTCAAACGGGAAGACATTGCCTGCTGCGATGCGTAAAAAACGATCGCTGCTTTTCCACAAACATCGGGGCATTTTATCTACCAACTGGAAATGTCTCGTGCGATTTACTCCCAACTGACAAGTACAATGCGTCCAAGAAGTTCAAAGCGAATCATACTTTCCATCACTACAGCATTATGGTGAGTTTAACGATCATGTACTACAATTGTTTATCTTTACTAAACCGCCATGCATGCTTTGCTCTGAAATTATGATGCTTGTCTTTTTTATTATTATTATTTGTTGCCACACACTTATAATATTTACGACACATATAGGTACATTAATTACAATTCTAAAACAACTACTTACTCTACTTGAAGAACTACATTTACTTACACTTCATTACAATACTTGTCTAATGCCGGCCTATCTACATATTAGGCATTAGACAAGTATTATGATGCTTGTCTTGAGTCTTTATGTCATCTGCAGCTAGGCGAGTCTTAATTCAGTTGCAGCCCTTTGTCCGGCCTCATCCAAACTATACTAAGCAGGAGGTGTTTAGCCTTCCCTCAACACTAATCCGTCACGAAAATGGAGCTTTCGAAAACGGAGTATTTTGAAAACGCCGACTTTGCGTCTAGTGGGGAGGTGAAAACATTTTGAAAACGAAGCTTTTCGAAAACGACGACGTTACGGCAGTCATAATATTCCCCTGCCTGAGTTGTACTCAAACATAAATGCAATCGCTGTAGATTTTTTCGAATGAGACAAGTTTATCTGTGATGCAAACAGTGGATGTGGATCAAACGCAGCCGGCTGCTAAGAAACAGATGCCAGAATATCAGGTGAAGTTTTTTTAAGACAGAACTTCCTCTTATTAAAATGAAAACGTTTTCACCTCACCGTTACCGTTGCAACAAAGCGGCGCTTTTATAAATCTGACGTTCTTCAGGTCTGAAGCGAGGCTGGCCCTGATGCCTTGATTTCGATCGAGAACTGGACGCAGTGAAAAGAGCTGACTTTCTAAAGTGAATCGTTGAGGTCGAAATGGTTTTGTTTTACCCGAAAATAACAATGATATTACTTTAAAAAAAAAGAAAAAAGAAAAAAAATTATAATGATGAGCTTTTACCAAGTTAGATGAGCTTCTCTCACTCCCCAAAACAAATAAGACAAAAACATCAGAAATCAAAGTCGGACAAGGGAGACGTGTAGGGCGCGAACAATGACGGTGTGGGTTACATTTGCGTGGATATGATTAAGGCCCTGTAGCTTTTCCGAGTCGTGTTCATTACGATTCCGTTTTCCATCTGGAATATTTTCCTCACCTGAATTCCTGACGATTTTAAACGGTTCTGTAGCTAAGCATGTTTGGATGTCTGTTTGTAATCAAATAGTTGAGAGAGTGAAAGCAGGAGGGGAAAAAATGCTACCTGCAGATCTATCGAAAAGCTGAAACTTTTATTGGCCTTTTTCGTTGTTGAAAATTTTTTACCAGCAATTTCTTGCTCTAAAAGTAAAACAGATAATCTATCATTATCTCATTTTTCTAACATTTCGAATTTGCTTTTGCCTTCCAGAGTCCTTGTGAAAGTTTTCCCTGTCAGCACGGTGGAACCTGCCGAGCGCTTTACCAGACTGATGACTACCAATGTACATGCACATCAAACTTCATCGGCAGAAACTGTGAGAACGGTGAGTTTCTTTACGTCTTTACGTTTCTGTTATTATAAAATAAATATAACAGGACTAATAATTATGAAAACAAAATGATTTTTTTTCATTTCGTACCGGAACAAAGTGATAGATTTGTTTGCCTTCAGCATAGTTTCTAGAGGGGAATGGTTATGAAGCCCAGCAAACATCAAAGGAGCAAACAAAGATGCCTAGATTCATGTTGGAAGGTCCACGACCGTGCACAATCTTTTGTTTCGCGTTCACAAATTATACATGAATTACGTAACCAAACCTTTCTATTGGTTAGTTTCTCAGTACGGAGTAAACAACTATTGTGTTTTGTGGATGGTCAAGGCCAAAAAAGCGAACAAAAACATACAACAAAGAAATCTGTCGGGTTTCAAAACCATACCCCTCTATTAACTATACTCTCAGTAAGTGATTTAGGACAAGTGATAACGGAGCCGAGCATTCAAACATTAAAACAAAAGTTACAAAGTAAACATAACAAGGTTAAATATCCCAACCGGCAGTGGGCGAGCCAGTTGGCTATTTACAGCCAGTTGGCTCCCTTAAGTTAATTTATTCCCTTAAGGTATCATGGTAGGTGGATTGACAGTGTTTGGAAATCGTGCTCTTACGCTGGCGCTTTGAAAGAAAACCCAATCAACCTATACATTTTCTGAAAGCTTAATAGTTATAGAATACAATCATATCTTTGAAATTTTCTAAAAA